AAAAGTTATTGTATTTATTTATTTTATGTTTGCTTACTGTGTCCTAGCTTCTTGTTTTGTTTTGATATGCCCAAATAGGCTGCTCATATGAGCTATTTTGATTATTGGCACATTTGAAGGTCTAATGTCCTGTCACCAGGTGGTTAGATCTGTTACCAGGTATGTGAACTCAGGAGTCCACCCACTCCTCCTGTATGGATTCAGCTAAGGTACCCAGGTAGATAGCCACTGAGCGTGTGGTGTAGGCTCTCACAGTCCTAGACAGACATGGGTGATTGCTGTAGGCACAGGCATCTGAGTGTAGCAGAGGGACACACTCTGAGCATAGCAGGGGGCTGACGGCCACCCCTGAGTGTCCAGGAGGAAGACACGTCCCTGTTCCCTAGAGTGCGTATGTGGGTGAGTTTTACAGCCGCACTATGAGCACCTAATGCTGTTAACTGTAAGGACTGAGGGGCAACTTGTATTCATGGGCCCATCTAGCAGGTGGCTAGGTGGTGTGGGTGGAGCCACCAGTCCTCAGGCCCCTAATATGGGTACATTAAGACCCTGCTTAATGGGCTAAGCACTGTCAAATGTCAAGAACCTGCCACTTCACAGCTGAAACAGTTGAAGTTAGAGTTCCGGTATATACCCTGTTGTACTGCGGTAATGAGAGGCTACACAGTTGAAATGGGCCCACACAAGTCTATGCAGGGGGAAAGGCACTCAAGGTCCGTGGATCCCTTATGCTTGTGCTTAGACAAAGGAGCTGTGCCTACCCTGGGTTCCTGGCTTAGCGGAGCCACCAGTTTACTTTTTCCCTGTTTGCTAGTTTGTTCACTCTCCAAGGCATGGAGAATGGCTTCGGGCGTGTGATGGATCCTACATCCGGCCCAGGGGACTCAGCAATTGCTGAAGCTGGTCCAGGACCCAGTGCAGAGCAGGGAGCAGGGAGTAAGTGGGAGCGAGGTTTTTCCCTAAGGAGGGTGTTTTTGATCCACACGGTAAGCCATACGCAAGTACTTATCTTTCACAGATGACGGCTGCTTCTCACTCATTCTGGGTGGCCATGTAGCCTCTCAGTGGCTCAGTCTCTCCTGGTGCAGAAAACGCATGTCCCGAGCACGGCTGCTTGCCTGCCTCACTGCTCCCCCTCGAGCTGCTCAGGCCTGAAAGGCTCAGGCTCTCACCGGGTGAGGTCTGGCAACTCCTCGGTGCTTCCGAACAGTCTCTCCCTCCCCCTGCTACTCAGTCAGGTTCCTCAACTCTGCCTTTGATGTTCAGGGTTCCCAGATTGCCCTATATAATTGAATCACTTGTTTTTTCAGGTCTTTGTTGTAAGAGGGTCCACAGGAAGCATCTGACTACTCCGCCATCTTGGCCCTGCCTCTAATTTTATATCTACAAAAAATTATTTTAAAAGAAAAATGAGATGTCCTGAAATGCACGAAATAAAACATTAGGTTCTTTTTTTCTCTTCTTTTCTTTTTTTATTGTTGTACAACTATATATAGCACAACATTTATCAATTCAATGTTTTTTATGTGTACAGTTCAGTGATACCAATTACATCAGTCATATTGTGCAACCATAACCAGTATCCTTTGCCAAAACTCAGTGCTTCCTAAACTATGACTCGCTTTCTTCTCTCCCTCTGGATACAAATTATGATATATACATACAATGGAATATTACTCAGCCATAAAGAGAAATGAAATCCTGATACATGCTACAACATGGACAAACCTTAAGAACAAAATGCTGGGTTAAGTAGGTTAATAACAAAAGGACAAATATTATATAATCTTAATTATGTGAAATAGCTAGAATAGGCAATGTATAGAGATCAAAGTCAATGTATAAAGATTAAAGTCTAGTAATATACATACTTAACTATGGTCTTTCTACTGCTTCTCTTTAGAGTGCCCAGTAAGTTACTGCAAAAATGGTGGAACTTGTGTAGTGGAGAAAAATGGTCCTATGTGTCGGTAAGGAGCTTGTCTTTTTTTTTAAATTAACTTTTATTGTAGTTGGTAAATATCAATGAATATGTGGTTAAAAAAAAACGGTAGATAATGGCAGTATGTATATGTATCTGTCTGAATAAGGGAACCCTGGTGGCACAGTGGTTAAGCATTTGGCTGCTAATCAAAAGATTGGCAATTTAAATCTACCAGCCACTCCTTGGAAACACCATGCAGCGGTTCTACTCTTACATGGTCGCTATGAGTCAGAATCCACTCGACGGCAACGGATTTGTTTTTTGTTTTTTTTCGGGGGGTGGAGTCTGAATAAGAGAAAAGAAGGTATATTTCAGAAAAATATCAATTGTTTAATATGATTTTGCATATCTTTCAACATTTTCTACTATATGGGTTATATATAGTCTTAATAATACTCATTATTACTTGTTTTTAGTATTCATATAAGATTTTAAAGAGATATTTTTATGATATGGGTGTCTATTTCAGATGAACTTAGTATCTGTATTTTCCTCTTTTTATTTCAAATTCTGTGTCTTTCTAACAACAAATGGTAAATTAATTCACTAAATAAGAACTTTTTCTGGTTTATGAGATGGATATTTGTGAATAGTTAAAGATAAGGTACAGATAAAGAATATATTTGCATACTCAAAATAAGAATAAATAAAAAGAGGCATTGTGATTTCTTTTGGGAATTATTTATATTTCATATCAAAGATAGTTTGATTTTTTTTCTCACCCTTTAGGGAATTGTGCAAAATGTGTTCATAAACTCCAAAGGAAATGATGCATATTCCATTATGTTTGTGTTTATGACTTTTAATTCAGCAGATTCATGCATATCACTTTGCTTATTAGAGAAATGATTACAGGTTGATACTCAAGTAATAACAAAACACACATAAGTATCTGGCAAATACTGATTAATAGTTGTTTAAATCCTTTTATCCTTTTGCGTCAACACTTGTATTTTAGGACAGCAGTTTAGTCCTAAAAAAAAAAAAAAAAACGAATTAAAACAACAGCAAACATTTCATGTAAGATATATTTAGACATTGCTTTAACGCTGTTGAAACTGAATTACTTATGAGTTTCTCAACAAGTTTTTTTCTCTCAAATGCATTACATAATTTATTTTACATCTCATCAGAATTATAACTTTCCCTATATCAGTTTCCATGAAAATTAATTTATCATAAACTATTACTTGATGGAAAAAAGTGTAATATTAATTTGTAAAATCTCCTGAAACAAATTGAGAATGATGTCATAAATAATGTTTATTGAATGTTCACTGAATGCATAATGATATTGAATGTCAACTGTTTACAATAAAAAGGTTTGAATTTTTGTCCTTGTTAGCCCTGCTACTTCTGCCAGAAAGCTCCTGGACTTTATAGATAGCCTCAGCTGAGCAAGCAGAAAGCTTTGCATTCCTTGGCAACCTCCTCGCCGACTTAAATAAACTTTAAAAATTGAAATCCAGAAAGTGAAGTCCTAAAGTTGTTTCTCTCTAATGAGGAAATGTGGAAATGTTGGTGGGGCAGGGTGGGGGTGTGTGTGGAGATGTGATAGGAGGACTGACAAGGGAACAGAATAAAGAAAGGATTAATCAGTGGGACAAAATATAGAAAGGAATCCACTAACAAGAAAGTTAATCAAATATTTAATATATTATCTTTGAGAATAAATAATATTTTTCAAATAGTCAAATAACTATATCATCAGTGCAAACAAATATGTCACATTTGGAATTAGTGCTATCTACAACTTAGGTGTGAAAAAATCACATTTGATATTTTTTAGTGGTATAGCATGATAGCATCTTCATTTAAATATTTCTTTAAAATTGTGAACTGAAAAAGTAACACATGTGTTGTAACATTTTTTTAAAAAAATCCTATAGTAGTGTATCAGGCAAAAAGTAGAAATCTCCTTACACTCAAATTTCACTCTTTAATTGTGTGATTTATACTTATTTAGATTTTTTTTTCCTTCAAACACACATGTACACAAAAATATACATTTTTTTTTTTTTTACAGAAAAGTGAATTATACCTTATGTGTTACTTTGCACCTTGATTTTTTTCTCTTTATGAAATATCATGGCTATTCTTCCATGTTAGTACATATGAATCTAGATCCATCACTTACTGACTGTGTGGGTGTTGGTTAAGTCCTTTAACATTCCTGTTCAGGTTCTTCTTCTGTGAAAAGAAAATAACAATAGCACTTACCTCAGAAGGTTGTTGTGAGGTTTCAAGGGTTAATACCCGTAAAACTTTATGCACAACAGAAAAAAAAAAAAAAGTTGCCTGATCCTGCACCATTTTCCTGATCCTTAGTATGTTTGAATCCATTGTTGTGGCTGTTGTGTCAATCCATAAGGTCGCCATGAGTCAGAACCAACTCAATGGCAAGTAACAACAACAACATATGCAAAACACTCTGAACAATGCCTGACCCATAAAATATATTATAGGAATTCTGTCAGTATTATTATATTATTCTTTTTTATGCTGTGTAGTATGCATATTCTGTGTATGGATTTGTCAGAATTTAATGTTGTACTAACGGTTGTTTAATTCTTGAATATTTGTTTTCTCAAATAATCTTGCAATACTCATCTTTTGACTTACCCTAGTCTAATTATTTATTTTTAGATAAACCTTACTGAAATACCAAATAACAATGTAAATTATTTTTAATTAAAGTTAGTGTCAAATTGGAGAATCAGTCTTCTAGTTCAGTTTTCACTTATAGGTAGTCTTTTTGGATTTAAGGTTAACTGATGACTTGGGTTTACAATACAAAGTGTTAGAGAGCTAAAGTGCACCGTAGAAAGTTGGTGGCTTTACCTCAGCCATACCCTTTCTTTCCAAATCCCTCTCTGAGTGTGGAATTTGTGCATCTAAGAGTGTGAAATCTGAGCCATGAAGACATAGAAATGCTCCAGAAAAGAGCATAGGATTGGGACTTTATTGTCTTTGTCATCTGGGGATAGCCAAAGAACCAAGGACAGAAGACCAAAGCCCATCTCTCACTGAAGCCATTAATGGACACAAGAATTTCATGGTTTCTCGGAGGTAGGAAAGGGCTGTCATCAAAGCCTTTAGATTTTCTCTTGGCATCTAAGATGCCTTGGTAATGGACCTCCAGGTGGCACCTGTAAGATCTGGGAGTAGAGAGACTTCATGAGAATGTCATTGGGTTTCTGGAATTTTATACTTATCCACAAGAACAGAAACTACTAAGGAAACTAGTTTGCCATTACTTGTGAAACACCAGCAGCCTGACATGTTGTAGGGCCGAAGAAGTAAACCATGAACCAAGACAGGGAAATTATCCCTCACCTAAGGAGGTGTGATTATTTTATTATTTTGATATGTCAAAACGTCTATTAGGAAAAGGAGATAAATCATAATAGTCTGAACTGTGTAATATAAGTGGAAATGATTTACAATAAATAAAAGAAACATAATCAAGCCAGCAAAGATGAAGAAGAAAAACAGGCAGCAGCATTTAAATAAAATACTTAGTAAAAATTAAGTAGAAGGAATAAATCCAAATATATCACAGGTCACAATAAATATTAAAATAATAGTCAATCAAAACACACACACATATACGTATACACACACATATTTAGGAGATATATATATCTTCCAAATGTGTGTATGTGTATATATATATGTTTATATAGAATTTATATTTATGTATAATTATATGTATATTTATATATAATTTTAGATTGCATTTATATATAACTTTAAACAAGGAATATCCCCAGAAGAAGAACAGCTAAAACAAAAAACAAGGACAAAAAGATTTTGGCATTTAAAATAAATAAGCAAGAATACTAATAATATCATAAAAAGTAAAAAATAATATAAGCAACTAAAAAAAACAATGGATGTATATTTTGACAATTTTTTACTAGTTTTATTTGTAAGGACAACTTGAAAAATTATGAACTTAAAAATGAAAAGAATAAAATATCGTGCATATTTTGTTACAGAAAAGTTTGATACATAATCAAAGGCTCTAAAGTATAAAATATATTAAATTAGGATAAAATCTGTGGATAAAGGAAATCATATATGAATTTAGTGAGTAAAAAGAACATTGTAAAATTTATGACTGTTAAAGAAAAACTGTTTTGTGTATTCTTTGTTGGAAGATGATGGGTATCCAGTCAACATGGTATTTAGGTTTTAATGGCTATATTTAAAAGTGTGGTGTAAGGGTCTTATTTATAGTAGCCTGGAGATCGTCCCTTTGCAATTGTTTAATGCTAAGATGAAAAAAATTTTTAATTTCTACTTAAAATGAAAGGGACTACAAAGTTTTTAAAAACTCTTTTGGGGAATATGTGGGCAAAATTTTGAAGACCGTGTTCCTGGGAAATTAAGATCATATTTTTAATGTATTTTCATGACCAATACCTAATACATACCTGACATTATAGGAACTATTTGAGTAGCTGTGCTGACACCTGGCTTTACAATACAAAGTTTTCGAGTAACTAAAGGAGCACTGTAGAAAGTCGGTGGTGAATGAGTAAATGAATAAAAATGAGTGAATGAATACAAATGGAAAGTGCTGAAATTTCAAGGAAAAGCATCAGTTACTTCAAAACATGTTTTTAAATATATTGAGATATGAACAAATGACCTCTCCATAATCTAAACTACCAATCACAAAGGAGTTGTTAGGTATCATTCATGTATCCGGCAAGAAGTATGTTGAGGGAATAAATGATGTGCCCATCATACTAAAATTATTCTCCAGTTTACAAAACTCCATTTTTCTACAATGACAGAAGAGGGTGCTCTTAAACTAGGAATCTTTTAAACACCTCAAATCTCCAACCCTAGTCATGAAATGAAGGGATTAAGGGACAAAATCAGTCTCCATCAATTCAAAGTCAGTATTGAAGAAAAATTTTTTGAACTGGTGAACACTCCTCATCACCAAGAAGAAAAAGAAGTCAAAAAAAAAAC